AAGTTTTATCTGATGAAGATACCCCAGAAATCAATTTGTGGTATGAATTTTTGTCAATATATAATGAGAATTTCCAAATCATAAGTTCAAAAGTATTACTCAAATACCATTATTTAAGTGGATTACTTAATATTCAGAACAATGGCTGGGACCAGCAGTTAGCATAATGGTTATATCACTGAACTCCCATGTAGCTGACCGTGGTTCAAGTCCTGGACCCGGTGGCTTAAACTCATGCCGGGCAAGTGTGCATGTGTATCCAAGATCCTGAGAGGAGAATGGAGGAGAAGAGATTGCAGTGTGGCCATCCACCCAGGAGGTGATTTCTTGTCTTCTATCCCTCTGTCTCTGTCTTTCTGACAAGCACACATGCCCTATAGCATAAACCTCTCAAAAAAAAAAATCAGAAAAATGGAATTAAAAACTTAAGCAGAGGGGCAGCACGTGTAGTAGTGATTAAGGCGCTCCCACATGGCTGACCATGATTCAAGTCTTATAGTTGGCAGTTCACTTTCTCACTTTCTCTCTCTCTCTCTTTGTCTCTTTCTGATCAAATTAAAAATAAATAGATGATAGCATACAAAATAATATGAATAAATAATTCTTTAAAAAATATAAAAACTTGAGCAGAGTAAGAAATGAGCAGGTGGATTTTATGCCCTTAACACCCTGAACCATGAGCAATGCATATAAAACTAAACATTTTCTACATCTACTGAAAAATACTTCAAATGTAAGGAACAGTCATTAGCCATGTGGAAAAAATAATGAACTTTTAGCTCTGAAATTACAGAATAAATAAAAAAGATATAACCTACAAATTTAAACATATAAGCTTTTCAAACATTTGTTTTTATAATTAAAATAGAAAGATGATAATATAAGTAATGTAATAGTTTAGATATTTGTCAGAAAAAAATGAGGGTCCCAATACAATTACATGTAAGATTATGAGAAATTTATACCAAAATAAAAAATCAGAACTGCAAAACTTATGACAAAAATCTTTTTAGTGAGTTACCACACAATGCCAAAAGAGCACCCAGGAAGAAGACAAAAAATGTTATAATAGAACATGAATGATTATACTGAATGATAATTCTTATAAAGTTGGCATCTTTATTCAGAGCTGGTGACATTATAATTTTGTGCAGACCTTTTGTAAATGATCATGAGAATTTATGAAAAAGATCTTAAATTCTGATGTTCATTTTTCAAACATCCTGATCATAGCATTTTACTGTAAGGAAGTAATTCAATAGCATTTCAAACTGTATGCATGAAAATATTTGTTGCATCATTTTCCATAATAGTGAAAAAAAAGTCCAACTTGTAAAGTCACATTAGATAAAGTCTGGTACAACATAATTATCTGCAGCTATTGAAAGCGTGTTATGACTACTATTCGTAAGTATTAAGGGCAAAATTTTGAGCTTGAAAGGAAATACAAAATGTGGTATCTGTGCTGTGATTGAGATTATGTAAAAAAGTATATGAAAGAGAATATGCAAAAGTAAAGGTAGCGATAGGATTAGAGGTGATGTTTTAAAGTCGTTATCCTTTGAGAATCTGCCCTTAACACTATGGGTTTGGTTTTGTTTTGTTTGTTATATATAAGAAAGAAATGAATGAGCTCACTTTTATTGGTCTATGTTACTGAAAACTTAAAGTACATAGTAGCGAATAGGATGGAAATCACTGGAATAGAGAACATCATTGACCTCCTATTTATGAAAGAAGAAACTGACCTTCATGACAAAGGTGGGGTGGCAGGGAGGAAGAAAACTATTATGCATTAACCAAGTAACTTTGCTAATACCTGCTTGAGAAAGGAGATAGAAAACAGACTCAGTCCTCACTGACCTTCCAAGTACCTATGACACAGTATAACTTGGAGGTCTCAAATAAAAAAATGCAGCCTATTGTGCCTGACAGGAAGCTTTGCACTTTCATTATGCATATAATATCTAATAGATCTTTTGAAATCATTACCTGTCAGGAGGGGAAAAAAAAGAGAGAAAAATCCTTGAAGAATAGAGTTTGTCAAGGGTCAAAGTAAATGGCAATATACTTTAATAAGCAATAAGCTTCATATTATTTCTGGGTGGCCTATACACTCAGCGGACTGTGGTATCATATATTGAATTGCAGAATAACTGCCTCGTGGCCCAGAATCTACCCTTCAGGGATGTCTCTCTCATCATCAGTTTATATTTGGCTAAAAAAAAAAAGAAAAGGAAAGGAAATTCTTGAAGTTAACGCCATGGTCACCTAAGTAACAAGAAATTAGGAAGAGAATATTTTTGAACCACCCAAACTTAAAAATGCATTGCATATTTCTGATTTGTATATTATCTGCATTACTATTCTCTCTCATTAGTAGCAACATTGAGAAGTAACTGTATTTTTCAGCTTTCAGCATTCAATATCTAAATAATGCAAGCATACCAATAATATAGACATAAACATGAGAAAATGTAAATTTTATTTGCTAACAATGAGGGGAAAAACATGTTTTTCAGGTTAAAGACTTCTTACTATGCATGTCAGTAAATCAACAGAGACTACCTTTTTACAATCTTCCATCTGAGAACATGAAAATAGTCATCCCTATTCTCACAAATATCTCATAACCACAATCTCATGGCTGAGTGACCGACATAAAAACACAAATGAGTGAATGTTCAATTATTCGGATACTATTATGATGTGCGCACTATTGTTCAATAGCTTGTCTTCTTCTCTGAGTCTTTGGCTCTCATTTTTCTCAAGTACAATAAGCAGCTAACCTCAATACATGTATAAGATGTTCCCGGAAGTTTCTGCCAACTTCAGGACCCTATTTTTTTGTTTGTTTGTTTGTTTGTTTTTGGAGAGGTTTTTGCTATAGGGTGTATGTGCTGGTCAGGGGTGGATAGCCAGGGGGGATAGCCAGGCTGCAATCCCTTCTCCTCCATTCTCCTCTCAGGATCTTGGGCACACATGCACACGTGCCCCTCATGAGTTTAAGCCACAGGGTCCAGGACTCGAGCTGTGGTGGACTACGTGGGAGTCCAGCGAGGTAGCCATTACGCTATCTGCTGGTCCCAGGACCCCATTTTTATCTTCAGCAGTTTGTTTCATTTCAACTGGGCACATAAGAAGGAAGCATAAACACTGCCTGCCGTGGTAGCTATAATAGGCATAAACAGTTTGTTCAGATTGTCACGTTTTCGTGCAGCCACAGCAGAAAACGGTCACTCATCTCCACGCTGCACCTCCCCAACTCTAACGTGAAAGTGTGCTTGCTCCTAGTTTGCCATAGGAGTAAGGAACATAGTATGGAATTCCAAACCACAAATTTTCTTTCGTCTTCAAGGAGGATAACGTGACTTTCAGGATTTCACTGGGGTTAGAGTTTAGCAGAACACTTTGAATTTGAGAGCAGTGTATGGCCTATAGCAAATTGGTTGTCCTTTTGCTGAACTTTTTATGTTTAAAGGTTCTCCTCTGTTGGTGCATTCAGTAGTATTTCTCAACCTCCTAAACTTAGCAGACTGGTATCAGAAACAAAAAATCCTACGACTAATTCGATTACAAGTGAATTTAAGGGAAAAAAATGGCTTTCTGAGATTTCTCCATATATAACAGCTTTATTTTCAGGTTTTATGATGAGCTTTAGGAACACAGACTTGGCTAAGGGAGGAAAGACAATATAGTTTATTGTAATCCGGTGATGACTTTAGGTGTTATGAATATTCTTTGATTTATTTTGGTAGTTATTTTCAACTCTATGTCAACACTGGGATTACTCCTACAATTCTGTACATGTATTTTTTAACTTACTTTTATCCTAAAAGTGAATCTATATATCCAACAATCATTCTAAATTTAAATACTCTTAGGACTACATTTAAAATGTGAATACTTGTTAAATACAATTTATAGCTGATAGTTTGACATTCAGTTAAAAAGGAATTTGACTGGATTTGGTGAAATATTGTCTTATCTTTCTGTTTCTTTCAGTTATGTAAGTCCCAGCTTTCTACATTCTGTGCCAGGAAGTCTCCAAAACTATGCCATTTTCATTTATTATTCTACTTACTAATTAAATATTAATAAATTAAATATTTATTATCCAATGAATTTAATAGCCATGAGTCACTTAAAAATTAGAACGTAAAGACGATTATACAGGCTGGCAGTTTTCTTTGCAATCTTCTTGTAAATGCAATGTGGAATGGCAAGATAAATAGGCAAAAAACCGTTCCATATTATTTAATTGTGGAAATACTACACAAATTGCCTATCAGTATTTGGAACTGCCATTTTGCCATTCAAATCATCTCCAATTGTTTTCCAAATATACCACACTTGTTTTAAATTGTAGACTAGACTACCACTCTCTGTATCATTAGGCAGTGACTCATATGTAATGTTATGTTCTGAGCTGACTCCCTGCCTATTCATCTCAGCAAACGCTAAATAACAGCAAGCAATTCAATCAGGAAAGCCAGCAGGAAATGTAAACACAATACACTAAAAACTAGATATGCTGTAGTTCCCTGGGAAATGGACTTATTTTAATGGTTGTCTAAACTTAAAAAGAAAAAAAACATCTACATGTAACAGAAGTATAGGAAAATAGGTAAAGGGATAGATAAATGTATTTATATGTATGTATGTATAAGCTTATGTGTATGGAATTTTGCAACAAAGAGCATTCTTTTTTTTTTAATTTACATGTAGAAAAATTAGCTAATAGATGATGGCTCCTGACGACTTGCTTATTTAAGGGTAATTTTAAGTCTCAAAAAAATAATGTGGTTTAGTATCTTTCTTCATTGACTCTCATTTCAGTTCTCTTTCAAGCACCCATTAGTCACTTGTATGCTTCCAATTTCATATAGGTGAATAAAAAATGTGATGGCATACTTTTCAATGGAAACAAACAATATTCATTAATACCTGTTACAGTTTGGATAAGTGTTGGTTCCTCAAAAATTCATGTGTTGGTCGCCAGCTTTGCGCAGTGACAGTACCATAGCCAATGAGGTTTATCCAAGGCGCGATTATTGCTAATTGAAAAATTCATGTGTTGGGACTTGGTTGTACCGTAAAGATGATCAGTAAACCTTAATTCTTTCATGCTGTCCCAGAGTGTGGTTTTTAGGTGTGAGAGGTAATTAGGGTGGGCCCCTGTGATTGAGTTCTGTTGGGTTTAGAAGAAGGAAAAGGAGACCAGAACAGAAACTTAAAGATAGACACTCTGCTCAAGATCATGCCCTTTACCATGCTGTAGCCTAACCAGAAATTGGTCCCTTGACCTTGTACCTTCAAACCATGAACTAGATTAATGTCTATGTCTTAATAAATTTATCCAGTCTCAGCTGTTTCTATAAATAATGAAACAACAGATCAAGGCAGAAATTGGCATATTTGAGCAGGATTCTGTTGCTAGAAACATCTGAAAATGTGGAAACAACTTTGAAACTAGGTAATGGGGAAAAATTTGGAAGAGACCACCAGGAAATGTCTACAGTCTGGTGAAGGCCCAGGAGAAGAATAGTTTATAAGTGATCTGGAACTTTTTAGAGATTGGTTAAATGGTAGGGACCAGAATACTAATAGAAAAATGGACAATGAAGTCTGCTCTGAGGAGGTTTTAGAGAAAATGAAAAATATTTCATTGGAAATTAGACAAAAGACTATGTGCATTACACAATAGTGAATAGTTTTAATGCAAATATTTGTCCGCTAAGGCTTTGTTGAATTTTGAATTTAAGAGTGACAAAGATCTGGCAACTGAAACTTGAAGACAAAATATTAGTTCACTGGGAAAAGTCATGACATGTTTTTCTGTGCAAAAATGTTTCCCCATGATCCAATATATTATAGAAGGAACTGCAGTTATTGTTAGCTGCATTCAGTGAAATGGGAGAGTAAATAAGATCAATTTTTGCTGTTCCCTTGGACATCAGAACTCAAGCCTTGTCTTACTTTAGACTTCAGGATTTACATGAGCAAACCCCCAAATTCTCAGGCTTTTAGCCTCCCACTGAGTTTCAGAATCACTTTCCCTGCTTCTGTGGCCACTGGACTTGGAATGACCCTCACTCCCAGGGACTCCAGCATGGCAAAGGCCATATGCACCATAATCATAAATTGATTCCCTCAATAAATCCCCTCTTATATATCAATACATATCCTATTGGGTTTGCCTCCCCAGAGAAACCTCACAATGCAACATCTGACTGCTGTTACAACTGGTCTTTATCCATAAAGGAAATAAACAATCTATTCTCAATCTAGTCTCTCAAACTATAGCATTCAAAATATAATTTTCCAAACATTTCAATATAATCCTTATGTAATATTATGCAATTTATCAATATATTGCCAAATATTCGTGGTGTGGTGTTCAGCTCCTGTTAGTTTTCCCTTAAGAACATTTGGTTTCATTTTAGTAAGCACAGCTTCTGCTCATGACCTACCATACAAAGATCAGGGTACACTCCAGCTGAGGGAAGACACCAGAAGAATTACATCATAGTCAGCCACTAGATGGGATTTTGGTTTAGTGGCAAGATTTTATCTTCCTGGCTATTAACAGAGGCATTCCGTCTTACATCACATATGACTAGAGCAAAGGAGAAAATAATAGCTTTAAAAAGTATACCAGTGGACTGCCCACCACGAATTCACCATCATCCTGCCTCAGCTTTTCAAGCAGCTAGCACTATAGATGTGGGCCACCATGTCATGCTTTTATCATGGGTCAAGAATTGACTCAGGCCTCCCAAGTGACCTCATCTTACATAGTAAAATGTTGACTCCGGAGTCCAGGTTCCCTTAACCTTCTTTTACAGTTGTCATTGCTGATGCTCCTGTTTTTCTCATTGTTTGGCATGAGATTAAGAAGAGATAGACTTTGGAGTTCAGTTGACCAGGTTTTCTTCATCTATGACTTTGTCCAAGTTATTTGTTGTTATGAGCTTTTATTTGTTTACATGCGAAATTATGATAAAAAATGAATTATTTTATTGCATGGACTTGAAATAAGGTAGGAAGTACTTATTATATTGCTTAAGTTTATTGTTAGTTCTCAATTAATGAAAGCTACTCCTATCATTATCATATTAATTATTTTTAAGTCTCTCTCTTTTATCTTTCTTTTATTTGTTTGTTGTTGTTTTTCTAATTTTACAGGGGTGGGTGTGGGTGTGCTTGCTGGAGACAAAGAGAGAAAGTGAGAAAGCACCCCTCCATGAGGGATGGTCATACCATAATCCCTTCTCTTCCATTTCTCACTTCTTTTAGGATTTTGGATATTCACACACATGCATATGGTATGTTTTTCAAACCACCAGATCCAGGACTCAAACCACATTGTTGGCCATGTGGGATCCAACCACTTTAACCACCACAGCTGGCTGGCCCTTTAAATCCTTTTGAACACCAAATAACCAGAAGAGGAGTTGAAAAGCATTTCTTTTTAAAGAATGCATAGTTCTTACTATGGGTTTTGTGGGTCTAAAGAAAAAAAGTAGAATACATTATGTAAGTGTTCATATAACCATTTAAAATGTAACCTCCTAAAAGCATTAAAGCTATTTTAAGCTCACTGACTGTTAATAAGTAAATATGTTGCTCCATCAGTCACTCAATAAATCAGGCAAAGCGAAGCAGTTCCACAGGTTATGGTTTCCTCACCGTTGAATTAGGAGATTGAAGCTGAGAGAGTTGGGCATGGTAACATGGCCAGTATCCAAGATCTCATTGGCTGGAGGACTGGAGGCAGGAGGTCACGGAGTGACCAGACTTGCAGAGGGTGCTTATCTCTTTCTCTCATGCATATTCAGGTACTTTGCCATGAATAAAAATAAGTAAATAGGGACCAGCAAGTGGTGTGATGGTTAAGGCACGGGACTACCACATGGCTGACCATGGTTGGAGTCCCAGATCTGGTAGCTTACTTTCTCACTTTCTCTCTTTGTCTCTCTCTGCCTCTCTAGTGAGTGTGTGTGTCCTGTAGAGAATTTAAAAATAATGATAAATAAAATTAATTTTAAAAGTAAGTTAATAAAAAAAATTTCTATCATGTTAAAAGTACACTTGGTGTGAGAAATACAGACAATGAACAATGTGGTATTTTAAAGAGTAGTAAGTGTTATGAAATATGTTTGAAGTACTATGAGTATGAATACAATAATGAAATATATTGAGCAATTGTATGTGTGTATGCTATACGGGACAGAGCTACTGGAATTTTATTTTAATTATTAAAGTTTATTCATTTCTTCTATAAATACCCTTATCATTTAAACAATTTCAACCTGAATTGTTGAGAAAGATTAGACTATGAAAAAAAATGACAAAAGCATTTATTTTATAAGTCAAGTGCCAGAGCTCTATCCTTGATTTTAATACTCTTATAACCTTGAATTCATTACTTAAACTTGATGAGCCTCATTTCCCTTCTCCACTTAATGTGGCTAAAAATACAGGTGTATATATATGTTCTCTGTGCCTATTTGCTTTTGAAACACTGTCCTCATATCTTTACTGGCTTTGTTATTTGCCTTTTATGGCAGAAGTTGAAGTTAAAAATGGTGGACCATATTTCCCTCTGTAGTTGACTTAACTTCATCTATTTAGATTGATTCTGATAATTTTGAAGAAAGAATTATCTCATTGGTGAATCGTAGGAACACAGTATGTTTGATCTGTAAAATCAATCTATTCTTATTTTACACATGAGGAAGCAGTCAGAAAAATTAAGTGGCTTGCTCAAGATTAAACAGTTGTAATATTTCCTAAGTGAGTCCATCTTGGAAAAGTACATAGAGTCCTTTGCATTTTTAACTCAACTTCTAAAATTTTATTCAAATCAGTCTTACTGGTTGATTGCAAGTCAAAAAACAAAAGAACATACTAGAAAATTTGGACTCCCTCCCTAATGGATTGCTGGAGGTGGAATGTCATAAATATTATATGAAATACTGGTGATTTAAAGAAAGTTTGTAAACATTTCAAACAAAACTGTTATAATCCCTGTTACCTTTTTATCTAGTGTATGTAGATAGAACATACATGTAGCATAACATTTTTAACACCAAATCTGTGTTATGAATTGAGGACAGATTAAGATCATAAAACCTGAACAGATATAACTGAATAGGTATAAGTAAAAAAAATTCACAAAATAATGCCACTTCTGTGACATTTATAATCTATATTTGCTTTCTTTTTTCTTTATATAGTCAAGACAGTTTTCTGAAAATAGAGTTCTTGTTTTCTGAAAGTCCAAGTGCTCTTGATGTTTGCATATCATTTAATGAATTAACTATTACAGTTTTCATCACGCATCCCAGACTTATTGCAGGATGTAAGTTTTGGCTTAGTTCTCACTTGATGCAAACTTGTCTGACCACCACTAAACATAGTTAGCACCTATTAGAAGGCAAGATCATTCTTTCTGCACATTCCCTAGACTCAGTAACAAAATAAAAAGTCCTTTAGCCAACTTCATATCGAAAAGGGAAAAGGTGAAATCAATGGAACAATAAAAACTGCAATCTCTTTTTGTCACATTTTATGACCTCATCACCAACAGACTCCACAAGGTCATCACTCCTTGTATTAGTCTGTTAACGGTCTGGGCACAATCACTGCTACCTTTTGAACTGGTGGGCTTTTTTTTTTTTCCAGTATTGCTTTTTGTTTGTTTGCTTTATTGGATGTTACGATTGTTCCCCACCACCCCCACCCCTGCTTTTTGGTTAAGATGAACCTCAAAGAAGAAAGCTATCATAGAATGCAATAAACCCATGCAAGAAAGATACAAGCCGTCTCAATATCATCATTCCAGGTTGCTTCTGTTACCCAGCTACATTGATTCTTGACAGTTAGCAGTCCATTCAGATACCAAACACAAAGCTAGAAAAATTAATGTACTTGCTATATAGCTGATCACAATTTCTACTGTGACTTCTTGACACAAAGGTGAAAAGAAAATGCTTTTCTATGTATGAAAAATTCATAGTCTAAAATAAGAGTAACATAGCATGGAGAAAGACAAACTTTCAATAAGTAACAGAATTTTGAATGAAAACTAGAAAATTTTATACATTTTTGCTGACGTTGATTTGGTTGATTATA